TTGTTRWWAWRATKWTTKWTGATKMTTSWTWATAAWAAWAMTRYTKTTTTTTTCTTTSCTGAAAACAATGTGAAAAATCAAATACCTGCGAACACCTGTTGAACTACTGGTTACACAGGAAGCCCGACCATGACAGAGCACTTATTGATTGACAGGTTGCCTGAGTCGGAAACGGTTTGTTTGGTTTCGTGCGTAAGATAATTAGCTTTGAATGTATTGGTATAAATTACTAGGCTATGTTATAGTCAATTATAGTATTCAATAGTATACAATTAAAGCATGAAAGGAATCTCCCAAAGCAATAAAATCAATATGATGTAGGTTTTCTACAAACGACCAGGGTCTGGGATTCCTGTATCGGAGTTAAGAACGCGCGAAACTGGAGCTATGAAAAATACCGTGTTTTAGAGTGGAGTGYTGCTATATTAGAAGTCGACTGATACAAAGTTTTATGTCATATTGTACTAATAATAATTTCGAACAAACGTAAAAACCAGAAAGATTAATCCCGAACTCATCAATTTAACAATAAAAGGTCGACTGTCAAGATCTTCATGTTGTTGACTTATATTATAGTCTTTACTTTTTTGAACATTTTCAATTATGATCTTGTMATATCCTCCCCTCCACTTCCCGATGACCACCTACGCAAGTCATGTTTATCCTCTTCACAATTACTCATTCCATAGCAAATCCATTCTACTTTCTAAGACTCCTACAGTTTTCCCCGTTAATGATTGGCAGCTGTCAATGATTAGCACTAAKATTTCAGAGTAGAACATATTTGATTTTGAAGGAGTAACTTCATTAACTGACTGACTTATGACACGGTAAAGCTGTGATTGACGAATGAACTGCCTGCGAAGYTAAGAATAATGGCAAGGGGAAATGGAAATGATTATTTAGGAAAATCTAGCTAATTGAAAAAGAAAAGCCTTTTGTAGAAGAAAAAAACAGAGATGCGAGGTAAAAGTAGGAAATCGCGAAACGAAAAAACGTAGAAAAAAAAATCAACAGTTAAAAAGAACACGAAGCARTGCCCTGACATCAACAAGAAATCTTTTGGAAGAGAAATGATGTCCTTTATTGTGTGGTTGTACATATTTTTCTTCCTTTTGTTATCATTGGATGCCCTGTGATTCTCTTTTTCTTCGCTTTCACATCATTAGATCAAAGGTTCTTTGTACGGCTGTCTAAAAACCMTTTTCAAGGTCTCTCGTCCGCTCATGCCGTCATCACGACAGGTGCCAGTGATAAAGCAGATATCCCCACCAGCCAATCCAAGAAAAGATTAAGAGAATTTATTATAATTACATTCAAAACAACGAAAACATGAACAAAAACTCTAGCTTTGTTGGTATAAGGAATTCGTATTATTTGTTGATGGGAATGAAAAATTGACGACGTCGCCATTCAAGTAAAGTAGTGAGCATGTTCGTACTTTGCATATTAGACGCACCCTAACGCCGACAKCTAGTCTCAACTAAACACGAAATATTATTTTTTCATATTCTAGTAAACGAAGTAGGATTACTTTTCTCTTCYACAAGAGTCAGAGGACATATCTGATAGTGAAGCATCGACTTTTCAAGGGGGAAGATCATGTCGTGCAAATTCATGAAGATTGTAAGTAAACCAGTGAGAAACCAATCATTCTCTCATTTTGCCACCTTTCAAATCTCTCTGTGATTATGTTTGGTGTGTATGCTTTTCAACGTAGTTTAAAAACGATTTTGTGGATAATGAATGTTTTGTGGACGTTAAAAATACATGTAACTGTCTCAGATATGGATTATCAACCACTGTACTTYGTAAAAAATCGAGACATTTTATCAGGCGAAAAACAAGAAGTGTCAAGCTAGTATTTTTAAGATAATCCAGGTGTAATTCTATACATTAAATCCATTTGCGTGAACCATTTGCTTCAGTTTCGATGTTAAAGGATAGTACCGCCTGAATTTTTGTATTGGAGATTTCAGATCAGCCTATTAATTATCCTTGAACGTTTACGGCATTTATATTCCACATGATTTTAGTTTCACCTCGAAATCCGCGACCGTCATCGAAAACAAATAAAAATAAAAAAATATGAAGAGAAGAATGTCAATATTAAATTAGCATCAGCTMAGCAAAAACACTCGAGCATATAGTGACAACAGAATATCTCGCTTGGAATATTGTTTACTGGCGAATTAATGATTTATGTTTGAAGTATACTTTTCACATTTTTATCTTTACCATTCACACTAAAATGTCTATGAAAAATAAATATGGTCCAAACACAAGTATATCTCCATATCCTCTTGGCAAAAATGTTCACAAAAACACTTTTCAGCTGGATACAGCGAAGATACTTACTGAAATGAGCCATGAAATCGGTAGCAATAATGTAATGACGTAAAGAGTGTTAAAAAGCATGTGAAAATAGCAAAATGTCATTAAATGAACGAATTCAGTTTATGAAAATAACTTTGCTTTTKGAATCAAAATATCGGGATACTTATCATTTGATCGCGCACGTTGGAAGTCAYAGAGTTTTGATTTGTATAACACTTTCGAGACACCAAAAAACCCTCTTYCTTGTGTAATTTTTATCAGATAATAACATTTTATAATTTATATAAATGAATTTCATTATCCTAGTAAAGATATTTGATCTCTATTCATAAAATCATAGTTATATTCAATCTGGTGGATCAGGAAATGCGGTATCTTTGACGTGCAAATGCCGAGGAACTCTTTTTCATCATATTAAAACTATCAGCCGTTCTGCTCTCAAAATGAATTTTTTACACCTTGTAGGCGCCGATTTTTGCCTCGAGCTCTTTTGTGTTTTGTTCGTGCGACCATAACGTCCTGAGCCCAACTGAAATCTACTAATATTAGCGAGACTCTGGATGCAATGCGCATTCTCACCTTTTTCTGATAGTTTTATGTTGTTTATGACGAAAAAATGAAGCTAAACCAGTTATGAAATATCAGCCTAATTCCCGCGTCTTTACGATATTATCATGCTAACTATAATTATTGTTAATTGATATTTATCTCTGATTTCAGCAATGTCTCGGCATAAACGCTGGAGGTCGCAAAAAGAACGAGCCTTCAGCATGTACTGTCAGCGGTGATGGACTAGAAGCGGCCATTGCTGGCAAACCAGCTAAGTTCCTTGTACGAACTAAAACTCCTGACCTTGTAGGACTAGATGTGGACATAGCGCGAATCATTACAGATAGTACAAGCGATATTTCTGCCGATAGTATTCCCTTAGAGTTTGAATGTGTGGAGGAAAATCTACATTCGGTGACATATCAGCCAAGGAAGGAAGGTGAATACCTATTGGCTATTAAATGGAAGGGCTGTCACGTGACAGGAAGTCCGTACACAGTTAAAGTGGCTGAAAATACAGATCTTTCAGATGATGATCACGAAGAGGAGGA